TGGGTCTCCTAATAAGCAAGGGCTTCATAAAGTAATTATCAAGAGAGAAATAGTCATTATAGCAAATCCGAACATACCTTATCAGACATAAATGCAAGCCATTATGTCACAATGGTTCAAACACAATACACACTTCGAATCCAATCTGATATCACAAAAAATAGCTCGAGACTGTCGGGCCAGGAGCGGGTCACTCGGAGAGCTCTTGCTGTTGTTTGAGGTTTTAGGGCGCGGCATCGGCTGGGGTTATTTGCGCCCACCCTCCTCGTGAGCGGAAATACCCGCGGAAATTCATCCCGTCCTCGTCCAGTGCAACCTCGTTCCTGGCAATACTTACCACTTACATTCGTTGAACAGCGCGGTCAACAAAATTTCGCACCGAAAAACATCGCGTCAATCTCAATCCACCTTTCAATCGAAGGCCATTAATCGGCCAGCTTCGCAGCCGGGTGCTATATTAGCCGCCAGTGGCCAGCGTGAGGCCGGCCGGTGGGCTGCCGCGGCGGCTGCGGCGCGGCCCCGGTCCGGCCCCGGCCCGGTCCGCACCGTCGTCGGCCGGTGGCCAGCTGCAGCGGGCCAATCCCCAGCCGGCCGAATCACCTCGTTCAGGCGCCCGGGAACAGTGTAGCACCCGGCGCCGCCTAATGCCCCGATCCGTCTCCCCAACATACCAAGTGCCAGACGGTGAGCAATGCGTCGCGTCCGGCGAGCTGCAGCCAGAGCTGCGAGAGCACTGAGTCGGCTGCGGCGCGGCCCAGGATCTGGGCATGCAAGCTGTGTCGCTTGATTAGTCTGCTGCTGGCTCACCGTCTTTGTACAGCTATCGCGCAACCAATCCATAAATCCGTCAATCCACCATTGGCGCAAATAACCAATGCATCTGACGCGCTTTGAAGCTCAAAAACTTGCTAACTGGGCAAGGAAAGGAGCAGCGGGTGGTTTCCACAACTTTCACATGGCGTTCATCGCCAGTCTAGACATTCCTCCGGTTCCTACGATTTGTTCCCGGACACCAGTTTCTGGCGCCTGGCTTCAGAAGCAGGAACATCCCAGGAACAAGCTTGGAATCAAACCCCAGATCCGGAAAGTACCAGGATCCAGCACAATGCCGAAATCCGGCGAGATCCGAGGCGCAGCCTGGACCATGGGCGGTTCACGCAGGGCCCCAGATACAGTCAGTATTTTGCCGAGGATCGAGCAGGAACCAAAATCCCGCATTAAGGTAAGGCCGTCGGTGATAACCGGGACCTTATCTCGTCATCTTGTACGGAGCCAAAGCATATCCACACAGTGCACTTATGTGATGCCTGTAGCAAAGGAAGTATTGCTGCACATGCGCACGATGTCATTTATCTCGGACGATTTACCTTCGGTGGTGAAATGGTGTCGAACGGCAACCCGGCTTGCCGTTTACGAGCAAACCATTGAGAAGCCAGAATTCGTTGTGTTATGAGTGAATCGATGGGAACCACAAACCAAGGCCTGTCGTTTGTGGTGAGCCAATGGGGGCAAAGAACCAGACCCTGGCCTTGATAAAAGAACCGATGGGAGCCAGGAACCCAGGTCTGGTGTTTGTGAGGGAACCAATATGAGCCGGGAGCCCGCATGATTCGCTAGCAAAAGAGCCAGCGAGAACCAGACCCAGGGTCAGGTGATCACAAAACAACCGCCGGGCTCCAGAACCCACGAGCAGATGTTTATCAAAGAACCAGCCGGATCCAGAATCCACGACCACGTCTTCATCAGGGGAAGTGGGAACGAGGCAACCAACAATGGGAACCGGGAACCAACACTGGGAACCAGAAACCAACACCGGGAACCAGGCGCACGTCCGGTCGCCATGTCAACACGTCACGCGACGGCCGCCGAACAGCCGCCGCCTCGGTCGTGCTGACGTCTGTAGCAGTCACTGCGAAGGCGGCCGCGATCTCCTGACCGCGATCGCAGAAGCCAAACGCGCGCATGCGTCAAAGGAGCTACGCACTGGTTCCTCGAGGCTTGACTGGGAGTGGGTGGCGCCGCCCTTTCGCCGCTGTGAGTGGGTGGTCACGGCACTGGCGCGCGCAGAGCGACACGGCAGCCGACACTGTGAAACGCGATGCCCATCCGCCGCCGGCGGTTTTCCGAGGAGTGTAATCCGAACCGGACGCACTACACGTGCTGCCGGCTCGTGCAAACTCTTGAAACCGCAGGCAGCGAAAACGGATGTGACTTGAGAATCTTGGAAACAGGCGGCATGAGCCTAGCAACGTGCCATCATGGGCGCGCCATCATGGGCGTAACGTGCCATCAACGTGCCATCATGGGCGCAACAGAAGCGCTGCGAAGAAAACGTTTGCGGGCCCGTGGGATCATCGCAGGGACGGATGTAGCCGCGCGATAAAATATCCACAACATGAGGCCAACGCCGACACCAGCCATCAGACATAGGGGATCAAATATTAACAAGGCGCGAACAAACTGAAACATTCAACACCGGCAAGCGAGGCATTCTGGCAGGGTAAACGATGTCTATTGAACATTGAGATAGCAATTTGTGCCATTGGTGGTACCTTTCGCGTGGGCAGAGACAGATTATTGGCGATCACGCCATCCGTTACTGTATACGACGGATACAGGTGCAGTGACCACCAGCGTGGAGAGCCTCCAAGCGTGCTGCAGCGGGGAGAGGAGACCCGGCAGGTGGCGGGTCTGGCGTCGCGGCAGGCCCGGCGAACACTCCGCGGAGAATGGAGCACGCCCCACGCCAATGTCAGCATTCGGTCACCGACCAGCAGCTCATCTCCTGCTCGCCACCCGCAACACGAGGTGCCGTTCAGCGAACTTCGCCCCACACTGGCACCTGTCGCATCCGCCACCGGAGTTGGAGACCGCGCCAGCAGTCTTCCGCTTCCCTCCGGATGGGTGGCCGGGGGACCGAGCGGCTGCCGACGCCGGGCGGGCTTCCGCCGGCGGCCGACATTTCAGAGCCCGCCCACGCCCTGTCAGTGCCACGCCGCCAACGTAACGGTCACGCCAGACAAACGGATACCGCGGATCGGCGGTTACAAGGTCCCTCCCACCTGGGATCACGGGCCAGGCAATGCAACTTCCGGCGCCGCCTACAGGCCAGGCAACGCAGCTTCCGGCGCCGCCCACGGGTAAAGTGACGCGACTTCCGGTGCAGCCCATGGGTCAAGTGATACAACTTCCGGCGCCGCCCACAGGTCGGGCGCCGCAACTTCCGGTGCCGCCCACGGGTCAAGTGACACAACTTCTGGCACCACCCACGGGTCAAGGGACGCAACTTCCAGCACCGCTCACGGGTCAAGCGACGCAGCTTCCGGCGCCACCCACGGGTCGGGCGACGCCACTTCCGGCACCGCCCACGGGTCAAGCGACGCGACATGCGGTGCACCGCGTGGGGTACACAGGCCGCCGTCCAGTTCCTCCCACGGCTGGGACCGGATGAGTCATTGAGCTGTCCCTCTCCGCTGCCCGCCGTCCCGCTCGTGATCGCCGCGCCGGGTGGCTTGGCGCCCGGCGGAGCGTGGACTCGCCATCCCGCGGACGGGAAGGAGCAGACGGATCCAACACACGCTAATGACCAGCGACAGACAACCGGCGACACCAGCTGACTGAAAGGGTCGACGGTACCAAGGGACCATCGTAAATTGAACGCGCAAGCTATGCAAGCTCATGAATTATGGTGGCGGTAAAGCTGGTGTCCCGACACCCAAGTACGTACCATGCATACACAAATAGTTAAATTTTCACGGGTTCAAACACTGTATATTATGCAAGGGTAATCTCATATTTCATAGGCTGCACTACGCCCACTGGACTTTCTAGAGAAATCCAACCAATCACACGTGACATTGGTTCATATATTCCAGGAGCTCCTTGCGATGCAACAACCTGCAGTCATACGGAAGCAATACGCGCCAGAAGTGGGCCCTGTTTCGCCTGATATCAGGGCCAAACCAGACAAAAAATGGTCATTCATAGAATGCTCTCCAAGCACATCTAGGAGTTACTTCCGTTCCATAGTTTATTTCACATGTCATCTACCATCGTCGTTCCCCATCGATCTTGATTGCGATTACGGCGGGCCAGTCAATGCACGTACAACTCGGGCGCAATTTTTATCTTGTTATAACAAAATGGACGATTGAATGGATCGGTTTCTGAAAGGTATGGGACGTTCGTTTTCAGCGCAGGAGCCAGAAACTTCTTCAGAGCGCGAGCGTATTTCCTGCGGAATGTGCAGTCCTGTTGTGGTCATTGTCGGAACTAGATCTAGCAAACTTGTCTGATAGGTGGCGCCATATACAGCCCGCACCACCGCCAGGAAACCATCGTGTATTAAGGCCAACATGGGGATTTCGTGCCAACATTTCATGTCTCTGTCCTCATTATCATCAACATCGGCACCTTACGGTCCATACTGTTGTCATCATCATTCATCCAACACAGATCGTACAAAAGAGTATGGTGATCGCTGGCTTCGCCGTATGCCGCGGAAGGGTCAACATAACATATCGTTCTGGCACAGCATGCGCAAACGTCGCCGACCACATACCAAGCACCTAAACGCTCGATTCGGTTGGGGAGCAGATGCAGCCACCTCGGATCACTGCCCCCTCCCCTCCCTCCGCCACAGCGCCCGCCAGGTGGTCCAGTCGGCGGCAAAGGACTGTCCACGCCGGACTGCGAGGAACCGGACAGGTTTCAAACGGCGCCTCAGGCGGTCATCCCCGGAGGCAGAGCCAGACGGTGATGGCTCAGTCCTGCACAGCAGCACAGGCTGCGGGTCGGACCGGCCCCCTCAGACCTCGAATGACTCTGTGTCGACAGCCATCGCCCGCCGCAACGGCGCCGCGAGCGCACGCCGCCCGCCGGGACGAGGCGACACAAACGGCACCGACCCACAGAGGCCGCCGAGGCCGTCCTCCCAACACAAACACACAGGGGGAGGCAGACAGGAGGCGCCAGCGCCGCCGGCAGCCCCGCGGCCGTACCTGAGACGGTGACGCTGCGGTAGCGCTCCACGATGCCCGTGAGCGCGCGCAGGCTGGCACAGCCCTCCGGGGACTGGATGGTGGTGAAGTCCTCCACCGTGAGCTCGGGGTTCACGAACACCCGCAGAGGCGTCACCCGCATCTCGCGCGCCTTCACCACCGCGGGCGCGTGGGCGCGCACGTGGTTCTTGGTGATCTCCACGGCGATTATCCTGCCCACACAGCATTGGATGGAGGCTGAGTGACTTCAAAAGCATCCAGCACAGCACAGACTGGTCAGCCCAGAAACAAATGGTGGAGTGGTAAGCAGTACAGGCCATATTGAAGTAAAACATCATATTTTGGCAGTGGTATTACACACATAATATTCATCACATCCATACCTCATACACATTTTTATATTCTACAGCACACATCATAAGCAATGGGGTTACAATTCATGTCTCATGACTAAACCACACCACATTCTGATGCTGGAGATGTGTTCATAAATTAGAAGCCCAAGGTCATGAAAAATGATGGCAATACTGCACAAGTCCTGTGACAAATCATGTTCTCTGTTCACTCTGTTCACAAACATGTCTAGCCCTCATATGCAGGGCATGCTCATTCTATTTGTTACTCTTTTAACTTATCTGCACTCACAAGTTATAACAACACAAACATCCATTCCATTTTGGTGATAACTGATTGTAGCCATTTTGTTTTTATCTGTGCATCTTCACTCACCTCACTGGTACTCCAATCTGGGGTGCAGCCAGGCCAGAGCACTTATACCTTCGCATTGTCTTCACCAATGTCTTTATCACCTGAGGGAAATGGTATTTGGTTTAGCTTATTAACTCAAATAATGTGCAGCACCAATTAAGCACTTTCACACCTCTCCAGACCAGTTTGGTGCAATTGCAGAGTTTTCTACATTGTGGCACATTACAATACAACAAAAGCAGCCATAATATACTGGCTCCAGTAAGGTTGCTCTGTATGACATGAGGCAATGATTTTCTTTACTTTGCAAAATGCATTCAAGTAACCAATATTAACATGGGATAACCATACAAATTTGGAGTGCAATCTAACTAATTTCTTAAAATCAATACCTGCAATGATTCTTAAATATAACATCATCAATGTTGCTATAGTCCAGATCTGTTTAGCTAACCTGCTGGATATGTTCAGAACCAAGTTCTTTTGGCTCAACAGTCAAGGCCTTTGCCCTCAGAGCTGGGTCACCAATCTGCACAACATGACTGTAAGGTGGCTTGGGAGGTTTTGGATTGATCAGATCTTTTATGATTCGACTGAATCTTCCAGCAGCCATCACTGAGCTGAAAATGATGGGACCACGTCAACATGTGCAGA